AGTAGGGTAGAGGATTGGTCCTATATTGGGGCCGAGGGAGAGTGGGAGACTCACCTCGGCGGAGGCAGTACAGGGCTGAGGGGGGAGGGGGAGGGAGGGGCGATCTCTGAATATTAGCACATCTAGTTTACCATTTCCTTTATTCGGCTTGCCTCTCAAGGAGAAGTGTAGGAATAGGTGTTATCTGGCAATTCACCCTTGATTCTGCATAGGGTGGCTGAAAATTCGGTAGCCCTTGAAGACCGATGCTGGAGCAACGCTGGCCGGAGCTGGAGCCAGGTGGCGCAACTCTGTGACCTAGCCTAGTGGGGGCGTGAGGACGGTGGCAATAGCTGAAGGACTAGAGACGAGTGGATTCAGGAAGCGAGTGTGCGCAGTCCAAGGTTGAGAGAGAGAGAGAGAGAGAGAGAGAGAGAGAGAGAGAGAGAGAGAGAGAGAGAGAGAGAGAGAGAGAGAGAGAGTCAGGCATCGAGAGAAGGAGAGAAATCGAGGGATACCTGTCCAAGTTCTTGGCGACAGCGGCCATAACCGCTTGTATCTGGAACTCAATTTTTGTATAACAAGAACTGTTTTGAGCGTTCTCCTGTTGGTGTGAGCTGGTTTGCAAGCTTGATTCTTTGGTGAGTGTTAGGTGTGTGGTGAGTGTTTGGTGTGATGCAAGCTACGATTTGGAGTTGAACTCGAGTTGGGTTCATTGCACGAAGTCCCGAAGTCCTTTTCTAGCTTTGGCCATCCAAGCCGCACATGCACTTTCTGGGCCTAAAAAGTCCGCACGTGGATCTTCTATGGCATGCAATGGCAACTGACACTGAGAATGCACTGATGCAAGATTGCATTAATGACAAGATGAAAATGTATGAAATACTATGAATGATGCATGTGAGGGAAGATGGTGAAAGGAAAATTCTGCTTCACTTCTGATCATGATCCTTGCCCTCACCTTCACCTTTTCCTCATTTTTCCTCTCTTGCTGTGCTTTTGTCCTTTTGACAGACCGCTGGAGATGCCATGACTCCCTTGGATTCAGTTTTCTGTCTGGACATATTCACCAAAATGGATCTGTGAGTATCTTGTGAATTCACCCATCTTGTCTGTCGTATGCATTTCATTTCTGTTTTGAGAAAAGAAAGTAAAAAAAAAAAACAGCCCCTTCTTTTCTGGGGGGCACCGACCAGAAAACCCATGGTACACAGGAAAGATAGACAAGGAGATGAAACCAGCCATCCCCTGAGGCTCTAGTACCTTTGGGCAGCGGTGCCTCAAGTGCTGTGGGGGCAGGTCTCCTGAGGGGAGAGCATGGTGACGGGGACCCATTCGTTAAGTACCCAGACGTTCATCATCCAAGGCCCTAGGATAAGCTGACTCAGCCCCAGAGCTGCGCTCCTGGCTGCAAGGCCAACGATTCAGTCCCACTGGTTCAGCCTCTCATCCCTTCTGTGTGCCGCTCAAATCTCACACTTAGCCTATGTGAGAAGCCCCATCTTGCTACTCCCTACTCCCCGCCAGTATCACCACTTTACTCCGTCATCTTGTCGCAGGCCGTAGATTCCCCTGTCCTGCGCAATTCCACTTACCTAGACATCACATCATTTCCACTAATGAGACTGAAAACAGACTGCAGCTGGGGTATACCCCAAGCCGACTGACTGGACTGGACTGGACTGGACTGGCCTGGTGCCGACAATGGTACCGGGCAGGACTGGACTGGACTGAATGAGTACATGGCCTGTGGGGTCAGGCCACGTTCTGGTCCCACAGACCGAACAGGCAAAATAGCCAAATAGCCCTGGCTCTAGGCCAGAGCCAGGACTATTTGGCTATTTTGCCTGTTCAGCCTGTGGAACCAGAATGTCAGTGTGTGACGGAACCGCCGGGATGGCAGTCCGTCAAGATCAAGACGGAGGGATGAGGATGAAGGAGATGCAGATGGAGCTGGAAGGGACAGCGCAGCTCCAATGCAGACTCAACTTACACGTACTCCGAACTGTGGAAGTGAAGAATGGGACTGAAAACAGACTGCAGCTGGGGTATACCCCAAGCGGACTGACTGGACTGGACTGGACTGGCCTAGTGCCGACAATGGTACCGGGCAGGACTGGACTGGACTGAATGAGCACACGGCCTGTGGGGTGAGGCCACGTTCTGGTCCCACAGGCCGAACAGGCAAAATAGCCAAATAGCCCTGGCGCTGGCCTCACAGGCCGAACAGGCAAAATAGCCAAATAGCCCTGGCTCTAGGCCAGCGCCAGGGCTATTTGGCTATTTTGCCTGTTCGGCCTGTGGGGCCAGAACGTGGCCTCACCCCACAGGCCGTGTGCTCATTCAGTCCAGTCCAGTCCTGCCCGGTACCGTTGTCGGCACCAGGCCAGTCCAGTCCAGTCCAGTCAGTCCGCTTGGGGTATACCCCGGAACGGACCCGGCGGGATGGCAGTCCGTCAAGATCAAGACGAAGGGATGAGGATGAGGGAGATGCAGATGGAGCTGGAAGGGACAGCACAGCTCCAACGCAAACTCAACACACACGTACTCCATATTGTGCAAGTGAAGAACGGGACTGAAAACAGACTGCAGTTGGGGTATACCCCAAGCGGACTGACTGGACTGGACTGGACTGGCCTGGTGCTGACAATGGTACCGGGCAGGACTGGATTGGACTGAATGAGCACACGGCTGTGGGGTCAGGCCACGTTCTGGTCCCACAGGCCGAACAAACAAAATAGCCAAATTACCCTAGCTCTAGGTCAGGGCAGCTGGAGGCACGATGCACGATCCTCAGACCTGTAGTGGATCGCGAGAGCCATAAACAAGCTTCCGCAAAAGCAGCGAAACTCTGCAACAATAAAGCCGAGAAATTTAGGATCCGGAGCAAGCTCCATGCGAAGTCCATGTGATGCAGCCTAAGCTACATAGTGTCATAGCAAAAACAAATGTCTAATATACACATCCTAGCTAACAGCAGGAAATGAAATGTAGCAGGGTACAACTCTAAAGTCCTAGAGGCAATTGCCTCAGCGCTGAAAGGAAAAAATAGCAATATGTCACAAGATAATGTCGTGTCGTTGAACCACTAAGAGTGGAATGGTCTCTAATGGGGTGAATGCAGCCTACGAAGTGGAACTCCTAAGGGCAGTCAAACACGAAGATGAGATGGGTCATTAGGCTCAAGGAGAGGGAATGGTAGCAAAGCAAAACCAATGACCCTAACAAATAAACCATCAAGGCGGGTAATGCTCGACAAAGGGGTGACACCGTGCAGGGTCAACCATGAAAGGGGACCCTCGAATGGGGTGGAGATATGCCTAACTGGAGGCATGCAATGGCCGACACTAGGGTGATGAGGGTAGTAGGTGAGGGAACCATGCACACAACTCACCGACTAGTGAGGAAGCTAGATCTGGGAGCAGGTAAGCCACAATAACGTCACGGTCCCAATGCCTATGTCCTCAGCATTCTCCTCGGTCGAAGGAGAAGAAAGAGGGTCAGTCGGGTAAGTAGGAGCAGATGTCTCAGCACGGAGAACACGACCATATACACGAACCAACATCCGAGCATGCTCCAAGTGCTCGAGGGGCTCCCAAGTAGCCTCCTCATCAGGATAGCCCTTCCAACGTACAAGGTTCTCGATGCGTGGAGGGGTATCGTCGGTAACTCAGTGAGATACGATGTCAGAAACGACGAACTCCTCATAACCGCCCACCATGATGGGTGGAGGGTGTTCATAAGGACGTCCGGCGAAATGTTCTGATGGTCTGCGATAAGGACACAGCAAGAGGATGCGACATTGACCGACGAAGCGATGCCTGAAGTTGCGAACCGTATCCGCTTCGAGCTGCAAGTGGCGTGCGTCGACGAACACATCGTCACCAACTTTGAATGGATGATCCATTTGTGATCGGTTTGCTTGTGCGGCCATGCGAGTCTGGGAGTCGGTTAGACTCTTGTGTGCGTGCCTCATAATCGTCGCCATATGGGCGATCCAGTCGTCAAGCGCAGGACAACGAGTGTCTAGGCGCAACCACGGCGCTCGTAGGAAATCCGTGGGTACGCGAGGGCGGTAGTCGAGGTTGCAATAGAATGACAACATCCTCGCGGTTGGTGAAACGGCTTGGTTGTACGCAATCTTTACATGGGCTAAGTGTAAGTCTCACTTTTGGTCATCCCTAATAAACTTTCGGAGGATATTACCAAGAGTTTTATTGGTGACCTCAGTCTGACCATCCGTTTGAGGGTGGTAAGACGAGGAGAAGCGGAACTGGGATCTGTACATCTCGTGAAGGCGTCGCCTGAATGTGCTGGTAAGGCGTGGGTCAAGGTCGGAGATGATGCTCTGAGGTAGGTCATGATATCTTACGACTCGGTCAAAGACGATGTCGTCAACCTCACAAGCGCTAATGCGATAGCGACACGGGACAAAACATGCACGCTTCGTGAAGTGATCGATGACGATCAAGATAGCATCACGACTGCGCTCAGTGAAAGGACGGAGGGGACCAGCAAAATCCATCGAGATGGACTGCAAACGACCCTCAGGTATGGGTAGAGGCTAAAGTAACCCATACGGAAGGTGGTTCGCACTGTTCACCTTCTGGGAGGTAGAACACTCTTGAATGTAGGCTTTGACGAAGTCCTTGGACTTCGGCCATACGTATAGGCAGGAAACACGGGCCAACGTCCTATGAAAGCCCGTATAACCGACAGTTGTCTGGTCGTGGAACTCTGCTACGGCCTAGACGTGGAGCTGTCCAGTGGAGGGAACGCAAATACGTGGTTCTAGTTGACCAGATTTACCATGCAAGTATACGAGACCGAGGGAGTATCAAGGAACGGTCTTGCCACTCCGCAATGTCGCATGGATGCCGTGATAAATCGGATAGTGGTGGTACTTAGTGCTCGATCACCGACTGATCAACGGTGGTGACCGAGATGACAGCAAGGTGGATGGGTTCCTGATTGTGGTCAGGACGACGTGACAAGGCATCGGCGATGCGGTTCGTTTGACCCTTGATAGGCTGAGTGGTGCAACTGGACTCGGATAAATCACGCCACCAGCGTGCCTGTCAAGGGGGAAGCTTGGGATTCGTGAGAAAAGCCTGCGCAACTGAGTTGTCAATGCGCACCATGAAGGGTGCCCTGTACAGATAATGACACCAGTGTTGGGTAGCATAAACTACTGAGAAAACCTCACGTTCATTGCCAGTGTAGTTTATCTTGGCAGGCAGTGGCTGACGGGAGTAGAAGGCGATCGGGCAATCCCCAGCACGAGTCTCGATGGTCCCATCGTCCATGATGGTCGGGGAGTAAGTGACGGGAGGACTGTCAGTGGAGGGGAGTGGTGGAAGGAAAAAGCGCCAGTGAAGCAGTGTCAGCAGGAGGGGGGGGGGGGGTAGGAAACATGGGGATAAGGGGAATCAAGAAGAGTGAGAAACATTTGAGAAAGTATAGCTCCTATAGCTAAATATGACGCATTGATGGTGACTATGAACGGACGATCAAAATCGGGGAGACGAAGAACCGGAGCACAAGCCACCGCCTTCTTGAGAGCGCGAAAAACATCCTCGCAGAGGGGTGTCCAAAACCATGGCGGGTTCTTCCAGAGGAGCGTGGAGGTAAGGACGTAGGAATACCTGGTGCATCCCCGAATGAAATTACTATAGTAACTAGTAAGGCCTAGAAAATTGCGAAGTTGCTTGACGAATGTGGGGACGGGCCACTCCGTGATAGCAGTGTTCTTCGCATCGTCCATGTGAAGACCATGGTTAGACACATGGTGTGCTAGACAGTCCATTTTGCGCTGGGCAAAGCGACACTTAGTGAGCTTGGCATAGAAGGCATGCTTGTGTAAGCGCTATAAGACATCGTTAAGGTGTCTAAGTTGGTATACAAGATATCGTTCATGACCGTTTGAAAGGTGGCAGGTGTCTTCTAAGTTAAGGTGTCTTCTAAGGTACGACTATAGAACAAGATGTCGTTCAGGTATACAAGAACGTATTCTTTAAGGATGTCCCTGAAGATATCGTTCATGGCCGTTTGAAAGGTGGCAGGTGCATTGGTGAGGCACAGAATGCACCTTACAGGTAAGGCGGTTACATTCTGAATGTTACCGTTTTCTTTTTTTGTTTGGTCGTGTGTTTCTTATGAGTCCCCTGTCCGTGAATTACTCAAGCTATCCGTGATCTGCTCAAGTTGTGTTTTGTCAGAGGATTGTAAGGCTCATCACACTGACACTGAGGGGAATGTATCCAACCATTTTCAAGGTCGGATCCATCTGCCCGTCTTTTTCCCTTTTTATTCTCTTTTTGGAATCTGACAACCTGGCCATGGGGCTGAGATGCCCTCATTGAGGGCACACTCACACTACCACTTCCAAGGATATATACAACTGCAATCACGGCCAAAACCTTGTTTCCTTTTTTTTTTTTCTTCTTTTCTGAGGTTCACGGCCGCAACCTTTCTTCGTCTTGTTTGTTTTTTTTTGTTCTTTCCGTAAGAGTACCAGAAAGAAAACGGAGTGGTACCCAGGCTCGGCAAACTCGGAGCGCAGTGAAATTCAGGGTCGGCAAAAACAGGCTCGGAGGTACTGCTGGTTTAAGGCCGCGATAATTGATCCAGAGGCAGAGGGTTCCATCCGCTTTGCAAGCAAAGAGAACTGGTGCACCCAAGGCAGAGTTACTAGGTTTAATGAAACGAGTCGAAGGACACGATAGTCAGGCACGAGCTGGATAGAATGCTCAACACCACGTATCGGAGGGATCCCGCTATATGAGAAATATGGGGGGAAAACGTCGCGGTACTCTCAAATCAGGTCACGAATGACGGGAGCTAAGTTGTCGTTTGTGAACTGCGCGAGTTCCTTAGTATATGCGTCAGCACGAGACGTATGTGTGGACTTGTCAGTGGATGGCGGGGGAACATGGGATGTCGAAGGGGTATCCGTAGGTTGAGGGTTGGATGTAGAGATGGGAGCCGCAAAGATGGAGGAACGGTTAGAGGAATCGGACTCCAAAGAGATGAGCTCAACCTCTGGACAAAGTGGATCATAGCGAAGAAGATCTATGGTGTTCACCGAGTAGAAGGTGACGTCCCCCTGCCGTATGAAGTGAGCAAATTGGCGGGGAAAAGTGAAGGTGATGTCTGGGTGGGACCCAGAGGAGCGAGGAACCTAGGGAGGGAGGTTGGGAGTGGTGTGGCCTGTCGTGGCAAGGAATGGGACGCGATAGATCTAGCCAAACTTTGTTTTGAGAATGAGTGTCTCGGTCGTCCATTCGGCCTCTGTCCCACAGAACTTCCAAGACCAAGAAGTGCCAAGGGTAAAGTCGTACCCAGTCTCCAACACATCGAACCTTGCAGAGAAATGGTAACGTCGAGGCGTCTGGGTACTATCCAATCGCTGGAGGGTGAGGGGAAAGTGGAGGTCGTGAACCGTTTGATCGAAGAAACGTTGCGTCGTGTTATCTTCGAGGGTAACAGATATAGGAGAGCAAGACCCGGAGGTAGCTAGATGAGCTTCCTCAACCATGCGAGGAGGTAGCTAGATGAGCTTCCTCAACCATGCGAGGGCGAACGAAATTGCCCTGTGAGTCGGAGTCCCATAAAGTACGGTACACCCTCATAGATGTCCCAAGGCGAATAGGAATAATGGGGAGGGTGCGATGAGGGTCGGAGAGTAGGATGAGAAGACGACGCAAAACGTTTACATGTCTTGCGAGTCGCGCTAGACGAGCCTGAAGAATGATCAAATCCAGGAGAGATGACACAACGTCATCATGAGTCGCCAACTGAGCGCTACAGCGAGTTGTGCGAATGGCGCAACGCGTCAGGAGTCTCAAAGGGGAAGGACTAGATGTGGCGATCTGCTGTGGGGCAGACGGTACCTCGACAGGCGGCGGGGCAGAGAGAACTGCGTCTGTCATGTCCTACGGATCCTCTGGTGTGGTAGCTAAAAGGGCAAACTGCCACTCTGTGGTCGGGAAACGGGCTACATGTGAGGTCTCAGCAGTACACTGCACCGTGGCTAGTTGGATGGGACTGGCGGGGCAGGGCCGTTGGGGGACTGCAATCGATGCAAATGAGAAATGTGAGCATAGTAACGATCGAGGGCAGCATGATATGGGCACCGCGAGGAGGTATGACCATCCTAGCAACAACGGATACAACCTCGATGGGCCTTGATGGCGGCACGCTCATTAGATGTCAGAGCTCCACGAGGGAGACAAAACCCTGCGGGAGGTCCACCTGAGGAACAGCGAACATGCGGGCATTGGGCTATATGGACTGGCTGTGAGCACAGCCCATAGCGGATAGGGCCATCCGCAAACGATCACCAAGGGTGGTCGTCTCGTCATTTAAATGGTAGCGAATGACGTCCATAAGCTCGATGTCCTCAGGGACAACCCCAAGGGTAGGGTCGAGCTCGACCGTAGGGTCATTGTCGTACTCGAGCGCACTGTAGCGCCTCGAGAATGGTGCTCCTGTCTGAGCTGGGTGGCGGAAGCGGTCGGCGAAAGACGGACGTCCTCAGGTGGTGTCGCGCGACTGAGTGGTGGAAGTAGGCTGTGCAGAGGACGAGGCGGTGGAGAAAATGATTACGCATCCTCTGATACTGGTGAGCGACATCGTACGCTTGCTTTGCCAACGAGAATGACAACCTCCACAACTTCAGGCGGTAGTCAGCTGGAAGATCGTAAAGAATCAGTCGATGAGCATGACCTCCGAGAGGAACGTCTCATCACACGTGAGGCGGGCGTCCCGAAACACTCGGATGTGACGCTCTAAGTCACTCGCGACACTGGACCCTGACCACTCGTCTGGGTGATGTGGGTCAGGGCATCAGTGACGTCATGTCGTGCACCGAAGCGGACATGGAGAAAGGTTGAGAAATCTGCGAAGGTGGGAACCTCACCCGGGCGCCGACGATGCGCATAGTAGCTCTCCCACACGGAGGAAGGGTTGCCATGCAGTTTGGTTGAGAGTGCATCACACCATATGTCAAGGGGGTAGTTGTCAGCATCAGTGTGTGTATGGCTATCTGCAGCCACTGCGACACTCAGAGTGTGACATCGTAGTCAGGTACATCCGACAAACACACTAGCGGGGGTCCGTTGTGCTGACGGCGAGGGAAGCGTGGTTGGGGTGCCTGCAATGTCGCGGCAAAGGTCGGGGTCGGTACAGGAGTGAGAGTGGGAGCAGGTTGTGGGCCGTAGCCACTGGCAGGGGTGCCCGTAGATGTGGAGGTGACGGCCTCAGGAAGCTGTGACGAAGTGGCGAGGTAAGAAGGCAGAGGAGGGGGAGCAGGTCGAGGGAAGCGAGCCTACATGCTAGAAGTGGAAGGGGCAGTAAAGGAGGAAGAAGGGTAAGCAGCCTGAGAGGGGTGAGGTTGTCACAAAGTAAGAATCTTCGCCTGAGCCTGCGCAATGGTGGCCTGCAAAGTAGCCACGCTCAGGCTGCGTGGGGTCAGAGGTGGAGTCAGGGAGGGTACCCTAGCAGGGGAAGAGTCACAAACTGAAGGGTTCACTGAGGGGGTAGTGAAGAGACAGGAAGGGGAGGGAGTGCTCTTAGCCATAATGCCGTGACCAATCCGAGGAGCTGTGAAGCAGCACCTGGATGGGTAGATGAGCCAGCTTGGCCATATACCGGTGTCTGGCGGGTAGTGCCTACGGCCATCATCGAAGCGGTAGGAGCGGCGAGGGCAGATCGAGGTGCTGCAACAATCGAGGTGGTCTGAGCGGCAGCGGCACTCACCACCGCTGAGGGTGAGTGTTGGGCTTGATCCGCAAAGGAGGGGGAACCACCACGTCTCCGTGTCTGGAGTCGTGGGGATCCGGACTGGTAGCCGGTCGGGGATGGAGTGTGAGAGTGGTGGGGGGAACGAGGAGGAGATCCCTTGAGGTGGTTGACGTCAAGGGCGAGCGCATTAATTTGCATCTGTATGGGTCCAAGTACGTCAAGGCGTGCTTGCATTGATGCGAGGAGGGCCGCAACGACGGTCTCAAGGTCCATATGGGCCTGACTGGGAACCGTTGGCTGAATGGGCACCTGGGAGATGGATGGCGCCGCAACAATCTCCTCGGATGAACTCTCGTCCATGTGGGGTGGATGGATGGGTGTAGACATGGTGGGAGGTGGAGAAGGAGGTGGGGAAAGAGAAGGGTTGGTTTGTGGAGAAAGAGGTCCACCAGTGAGAGGGAGGGGACCGTGGGAGCACAATAGGTAGTCGTGAGTCGGCGCGCTCCGTGACCAATGGGTCGCATGTGAGAGGGTGGCACGAAGCCGGTAGAGGGGAGAGGATCCGTCCGGGTCCAGGGTGTCCGGCAGGAGGAGGCTGGAGAGGAGGGGGGTTAGGAGAACCCTAAGCCCTAGAAAAACCCTAAGAAAACCCTAAGCGGAGGTTTGGGGGGTTAGGGTAGAGTAGCGGCGACCTAATCAGGAAAATAAAATAACAACCATGAAGGAGAGGGGGGGAAATAAATAAATAAATAGTAAAATTTTGAGATAAAATTAAAAGAAAATAAATAATAAAACTAAATAAAGAACGAAACAAGCAAAAGGTGAGGAGAGAAATAATATTTGTTTTTTTGGAAGTTTCGGCAGCATTTCCCTACCACCCATGGGGTCGACAATGTGCCAAGAGAAGCACACTAAGTTTCAAAATGCCATAAATTAAAAATGCAGAAAAATAAATGAAGAAATAAAGAAATTGAGAGATGGAGGAGACTAAAGAGAAAACTAAGTTTTTAATTTTTTTTCAAAACTTTCGGTAGCATTTCGTTACCCCCATGGGTTCGAAGTGTGCGGTCAAGAAGAATGACTAAGTACAAAATGGAACATTTTGCCAACACTTCACTACCCCCAAAGGGGTCAAAATGTCCTGGAAGAAGAGAGTAGGGAGAAAAGAGAAATCCCGGCAGCACTTCATTACCTCCAAGGGGTCAAAATGTGCGTCGATAGCATAAATAACTAAGTCCTAGCAAGATATAGAGTTGCCGCAACAGCACTTCAT